TTCTCTCGTTTTCCTTTTTTTAAAAACTCTCATTGCATAGCAAGCCCCGGTGATTACATCATGACCTGTAATGACTTACATTTCACAATCTTTACATTTGCATTTCTTACATTCAGGGACTGTCCTAGCATGTTTGGTACCCTGGGCGAACACTCCCTCTCCCTCTATCAATTTTCCATCAGTAATTTTGCACTTCAGTATCACCCAATCCTACAACATGGACTAATAGACTAATAGACCTACACATGGTATAGGTTTTTTTTCCTGGGATTTCACACAACCCAGGAAAAATAATTAATACAAAATTGTCTTGGAGTGACAATATTATGTGCACTACTTGGAAGCAGCCCGCCCCCTCCCCTTTCGACAGGTTGTGTGTGAGACTTCAGCACAGCAGCAGGCGCACCGAGGGCCCCTCACGCTCACTTTTCGCGTAGATGTGTGTGATAGAATTTAGAAAACACATGGGCGCAGATTATAAGTCTATAGCATCATTTCTTAAGTTTTTGTGTTTGTTTTAGGGCAGTCAGTGTTAACGCGTTAACGGCGTCATCACATTAATGCGATTAAAATTTTCAACCTGTCCGGAGCGCAGAACAGACAAACTTCAGACAAACTGCCCAAAATGCGTTGAGAGAGAGATTTCAGGGATTTTACGACATTCTGCTCTCCAGATGGATTAATTGCTGCTTCAGCCAGAGAATCTCCCACAGTCCCGTCCCTCTCCTCCCTGTGTGGCAAGCAGCAGGCGCACCTTGCAAATAAAGGGCACCTTTACTCCCCGCAAATAGGCAATAGAAAACCGATCAGTGCCCATGCAATCCCCAAAATGCGCTGGCATGACGTCGGGGCAGTATGGATAACCACGCAAGCCTCTAACCCAGTATTCCCGCTCGCAGTGCATGACACAAACCTGAGTAGATGCGTGCTCTGACTTAAGGAGAGTCTTAAAGCAGCAGTATGCCCCTCAAAATGCCTGCTCTAGTCATGACAATGACAACTCTAGAAACAGACCTTTTGTAGACAGGTAAACAGTTTAAAACACAATCATCTCCTTTTAACCTACTGCAACTACCTTGTATTATTTGTGGTAGCTACCTGGTTATGTGCCACTTCAGTGTCTTCGATGCACAACTGCTGTGTGATTTATTACTATTACTGAAGGCTGCATTACAAGCTACTAGCTGGGAAAGCCGATCCCAATGTCCACCCAATTGTTACTCATTTTATAGCAAGACTTAAAAATCTAGTTGGTATTGCTTTCAGAATTGCAAATGGTTAGCATGGTATTCAAAGTCAGGGAGGTGTTTGTGGTGCTTTACGCTTGGCTTATAGCACAGTATCACAAGAACCTAGAAGCAATTAAAGGTTTCTGATTTCTGAGACAAATATACAAATATGACAGAGAAAATGTAAATTGGAGTAAAAAGTAGTGTAGTGTAGACAAAAGAACAATTTTTTCTAAAAATATGAAGGTGATATAAAAAATACAGCTGCGGCTGAGTGAAGTCTGTTCTGAGTAAATCTAAAGTTAACATGTTATTTGGTTTGTCCTCTGATTTTCCCCGAAATCTTTTGCAATGAAGCTCATATTGTTTGCAAAGTCTTCTTTATTTCCTCCAAAATCGTTTAATGATAATATTATACTCTTAATGTTCTTACTAGGCTATTCCTTGAAATCATGTTCTGAAAATTTATGTCATGGATGGCAATATGGACGTAGCTCATTGGTCTTAAAACTGAAACCAGTGGACAAAAACCTACATTCTTCAGTAACCAGGAGGGATCTGGTTATCTGGTTACTTAAGAATGAAAAATTACTCTTTTAATAAAAAAAAAAATCCAGCTGTATAAAGACCAATGGGGAAATAACTCTAGTCACCTGACCTATGACCTCTGTTAAATCCTCAATGGTGAGTTCATATTGTTATTCACTGGTTTCAAACCTAACATTCTTCATGATTTTCATTTTGACTAAAAAGCAGGTTGCAATGTAGTATGTGGTGACCTTGTAATTGAAGCCACTGTGTTGTGAAGTGCAGGGTCCCTCTGTGTCTCAGCTTCCTTGCTCTTGACATACAGTTTTAAAACACTGAAATGGCGAATTCTAGTTCCAATTTCTCTTTTCAGGGGGAGAGGTTGACTGGCTTTTCCTCAGCAGACCAGATGTGGGTTTAGTTTATGCTTCAGTCATTGCACATTTTCCACATTCACTCATCAGCTTGCAGTGTTTAAGGTTAACCAGTTCAACTTTATATATGTAGCCAAGTGAACTAACACTACACATAAA